CATGTTAAACCATCCCTATCGTACGTAGATTGTGGCTTAGCCCAATGTGGGGGCCCAGGATTCTTCTACCGTAATAATTTTTTTTTTTTTTAAGTTTGCATTTCACATACATTTCATCCTATATATACAGATTTATTTTCAGCCTATTATTTGGATGAGCAGAGAAAAAAGATTTAGCACCATCCTCTATTGTGCACAGTAGGAAAAACTAGAACAATATTTCCCCCTGCTGGTTACAGCAATAGAAAGGGAACTTCTCAATTTTATTGTACGGTAGTGGCCAAAATTGTGGAGACCTTTTGGGAAAAGTGTATTTTCTTAAAACTAGCTAATAACACCACTTTTTTTTTTTTGCAGTAGTACCATAAAATTATATATCAATGGAAAGATAATTTCATCAAGAATGTAATGCAATAACTTTTATGAAGGATTTGCTATTAGAATAGCAGTGACAGTAGAAAGGAGAAAAGGGAAACACGTAGAAAAAACGAGATATACAAAAATGATCACCATAGGAAAAAAACGAGATATACAAAAATTATCAGTTCATACTTCGTTGGGTAACCTTTAGTAAGAATATTGGAAACCTACCACTGATCGCGGAGTCACATGATCACCATTTTCTACCTTCCTAGCCCGCTTCCGGCAAGCAGAGCCAATGGGGAACCAGGATTCGCTTTATGACTTTGTGATTCACTTAACAACGGCAGTGATTTCCTTAACAACAGTGTCCCCCCCAAAAAAAGTTTGTATTTGGGAGTGACTCCCTTAACAACGATTTGGGAGTGACTCCCTTAACCACCGCTTCGCTTAGCCATGGAAATTCTGGGATCCAATTATGGTCGTAAATCGAGGACTACTTGTAAGCCCCGAGGTCACATTTGGGAGGTTCGTGTCCCATTTTGAACAAGGCCGCTGGGCTTTTTGAGAGAGAGAGAGCAAGCTGTCAGTCAGCCTTTCTACAGTTGTGTAAAAGTTAACTCCCAGTGGCTAATTTGAAGTGGGAAAACAGTTGTATGGCTGTGATCCAAAATGTCTCTGGAAATAGGTCCACCTGTGCAGAAGAAACGACAGGTACACTGAGGACACGGAGGGAGTAGTAGAGAACAAATCCCACAGGTTGCCTTTGTGGAGTTGGTATTTTGAGGCTGGCTTTGAGGTTTGTGCCCAGGGCAGGCTCAACTAATTCAAATTTGCCAACCACAAATATTTTTCAAACTTCCGAGTCCTTTTCCACTTATCAGCATGCTTAGTTCTGGGACAGAAAAGGCCCAGGAAGGAATATTTGTGAGGGGGGTGTCAAAAAAGTCAAGATGGCAGCCACAGGGAGGCAATCACATCTAAAGAAGAGAAGGCCATCAACTTGACCATGTCCTAAGGCAGTACTTCTGAATCTCAGCAACTTTAAGATGTGTGGACTTCAACTCCCAGAATTCCCTAGCCTATGCTGGGGGAATTCCTCCATGTTGGCTGGGGAATTTTGGGAGTTGAAGTCCACACATCTTACAATTCATAAGCATGTTTCCTGAAGAATTTTGGGAGCTGACATCCCACACATCTTAATGATCATTAAGATGCTAGCTGAGGAGTTCTGAGAGTTGAAGTCCATATATCTTACAGTTCATAAATAACCTGGCTGGAGAATTCTGGGAATTGAAGTCCATACATCTTAAAGATCATTAGCTTGATAGCTGGGGAGTTCTGGGATTTGAAGTCCACACATCTTACAATTCATAAACATGTTTCTTGAGGAATTATGGGAGCTGACATCCACACATTTTAATGATCATTAGCATGCTGGCTGAGGAATTCTGGGAGCTGAAGTCCTTATTTCTTACAGTTCAGAAGCATGCTGGCTGGGGAATTCTGGGAGTTGAAGTCCACATGTCTTACAATTCATAAGCATGTTTCCTTATAGGAGTTGACATCCACACATTTTAAAAAATCATTAACTTGCTGGCTGGGGAATTCTGAGAGCTGAAGTCTACATATCTTAAAGATCTTAAGCAAGCTGCCTAGGGAATTCTGGGAGTTGAAGTCCACATGTCTTACAATGGCTAAGATTGAGAAATAGAGCCCCATTGACTTACCTGGGTGGGGGAAAAAAATGCATCTTGGAACACGTACAAAAGGGCCTTTTCTACTCCCTGTTCTTCGAGTCCTAGGGTGAAAGTTTAACTTCCTGGGACATTCTTGCTCAAGGCTCATTTTGTAATCTGGAGAAGCAAACAAGTTCAAGATTGCCCCGAGGGATTATCTCCCAAAATTGTGGGATCACATCCCAGTCTAACCACAGAGGTTGCATGACGGGTTACAGTGGCGGAGAAAAATGCCTGGCACTTCAAGGTACTTTACTTTCACAGTAGTTATTGTTAGACCAGCTGAACTTTATCCAAGAAACCCCACCTCTGGCGGCAAAGATTAAGTCGCAGTCAGTGCTGGGTTGGCCTTTCACTGAATTCCATTTTTATTTCATCCCCCCCCGTTTGCAAAGAGAGTTGGCCAATAAGCTCTTTAAAAGAGTAAAAGGTAAAGCTAAAGGTTACTCTCGCACATATGTGCTAGTTATTCCTGACTCTAGGGGGCGGTGCTCATCTCCATTTCCAAGCCGAAGAGCCAGCGCTGTCCAGAGACGTCTCCGTGGTCATGTGGCCGGCATGACTCAACGCCAAAGGCGCACAGAACGCTGTTCCCTTCCCACCAAAGGTGGTCCCTATTTTTCTACTTGCATTTTTTACGTGCTTTCGAACTGCTAGGTTGGCAGAAGCTGGGGCACGTAAAGGGAGCTCACCCCATTATGTGGCACTAGGGATTCGAACCGCTGAACTGCCAACCTTTCGATTGACAATCTCAGCGTCTTAGCCACTGAGCCACCGTGCCCCCGTTAAAAGAGTACAGGAGCCCAAAATTTTACTCTTTAAAAGAGTAAACGGAGCCCCACATTTTTGTGGCTAAGCAAGACAGTTGTTAAGTGAGTCTCGCCCTGTTTTACGACCTTTCTTGCCAGAGTTGTTAAGGAACCAATCACTGCAGCTGTTAAGTGAGTGACACGGTTGTTAAGCGAATCTGGCTTCACCATTGACTCTGCTTGTCAGAAGGTCGCAAAAGAGGATCGTGTGACCCCGGGACGCTGCGACTGTCATAAATATGAGTCGGTTGCCAAGCGGCTGAATTTTGATCCCGTGAACATAGGGATGCTGCAACGGTCATAAGTGTGAAAAGCGGTCACATGTCACTTTTTTTAGTGCCATTGTAACTTCAAACAGTCGCTAAACGAACTATTGTAAGTCGAGGAGTACTTATACAAATAGGGTAGAGGTGGCATTATGATACTACAGGGCTAATTTGGTGATTTGCCTCTTGTGGGTACCCCAGATTAAATCATGGTTTCCTTATTTAGTTGACTATAAATGACAAGTAACTGGATTCCCTTCCGCCATCTTGTAGCCTGTTAGAGAACTGGATTCTCTTCCGCCATCTTGTAGCCTCTTCCGCCATCTTGTAGCCTGTTAGCGCTGCTGGCTGGGGGATTCTGGGAGTTGAAGTCCACCCCTCTTCAAGCTACCAAGGTTGAGAAACACTGAACTATAAGACGTGTGGACTTCAACTCCCAGAATTCCCCAGGCTGGCTGGAGAATTCTGGGAGTTGAAGTCCAGGCATCGTTAAATTGCCAAGGTTAAGAAACACTACCATAAAGCATGGCATGGCAACCTGGGGCAAGTACGGGCAAATGAGTGAATTCGTTAGCCACTTATCAAGATTGCTGGCAAGCAACAGCAGAAGTTTCTGGAGGGTGAGGTCAAAAAAGTCAAAATGGGGTCCCTCACACTGTGATTAAAGCCGCCATCTTGATTCTTTTGAACACCATCTGTGGACATCCTGTGTGCCAGTAGCCTACAACTGATATAATTTACTGGTCCTCTAAAAGTTTGGTAGACTTCCGTACAAAAATATCTAACTTTTGGGGATTCCTTTTTTAACGGCTTTCATATTTCTTGTGGTAAACGCAACTTAACTGAAGAACATTATTGTTGAACCTTGGCCATGAAATTTCGAGATATATTGGACTTTGGTTCGTACAGAATTGTTTTATTCAATGAAGCTGCAGTAAAAAATAAACTTTACTCTGACATGGCTTGAGATCACATGGTTCACATTTACTTAGTTATTTTCATTTATTTAAACAACGTTTGCAGCTGCTCATCTCAGGACATTTATTCTAAGCCAGGCACAGAAGGCGAAAACCAAAAAGAACAGCATCGTTTTACAAAATAAGCACCCCAAATAATAACATGCGTCTCGATACTAAAAGTTAATCAATGTTCAATTGGTAAAGACATAAATAAGCTCAGCTTATGCATCACACTTCCTTCTCCTCAGCTCACAAAGGGTGGACTTTTGGATCTTTTTAAAAGTGCAAAAATAACTTTAAAATGTCGGTCTTCTTTTCCTTCCTTCTTTCTTTCTTTCTTCCTTCCTTCCTTCCTTCCTTTCTTCTCTTTCACACTCTCTTTTTCTGTCTTTCCCTTCCTTCCTTCCTCCCTCCCTCCCTCCCTCCCCCTTCTACTCCCTCTCTCCTCCCTCTCTCCCTCCTTCCCTCCCTCCCCTTCCTTCCTCCCTCCCCCTCACTTCCCCCGCTCCTTCCATCCCTTCTTCCTTCCTTCCTCCCTCCTCCCTCCTTCCTCCCTCCCTTCCTCTCTCCTTTCTTCCTTCCTCCCTCCCTCCTCCTCACTTCCCCCCGCTCCTTCCCTCCCTCCCTCCTTCTTTCCTCCCTCCCTCCTTCCTTCCTTCTTCCCTCCCTCCCCCTCACTTCCCCCTGCTCCTTCCCTCCCTCCTTCCCTCCTTCCTCTCACCCTTCCTTCCTCCCTCCTTTCTCCCTTCTCCTTCCCTCCCTCCCTCCCTCTCGTTTCCCCCCCTTCCTTCCCTCTCTCCCTCCTTCCCTCCCTCCTCCTCCTTCCTTCCTTCCCTTCCTCCCTCCCCATTCAATTCATTATCCGACTAATCCGACTAAAGCAAAGAACTAATCCGACAATTTCTTAATTTTGTCTGCTTTTTATCAGCTCAGGCTTTTTGGAGGTGGGGAGCAGGATTACAACATAATTTTCTGGTCATGCCACCGATTTCGTGCCATGAATCACATCCTACTTCACTTGACTTGGCCCAAATAGAACAGGACAGGGGGGAAAATATGAGCCACTCTTCGAGTCGCAATGCAACACACCACACTGATTAAAATCTACCGAAAGATAGAATCGTGACTTCTTCTTTTTTTTTTCTTTCTTTCTTTCCAGGCCTTGACCTGCTCTGTGGATGAAACAATAGAGGCAGAAGCCTCTGTCCAAGGTTGCTGGGCTCCAGACTCCCTCTTCTCAGGACCAGGAGCATTGTAGGATTGATTTTATTTTGCAATTTGTCTAGCACTGGCCCGCCCACCGTTCCCAAAGCTGAACTGGAGCCTGCCCTCCCTTCCCTGCAAGCATCAACCTGTCCACAACACTTGTTGATTTCTCCCCACTGCTTTGTGGCCGGTGTGTTGTCAGGACTCTAATGCTCTGAAGCTGTTTGTTATTTCCTCTTTGGTTCTCTCTCCCCCACCCCACTACTAATTCACTACTCATTGCTTTTGTCACTTCAATCCTCCAAGTTCCTTCCCTCCCTCCCTTCTTTCTTTCTTTCTTTCGAGCTGGTTGGGCTCCTTCCTGGCACACAGCAGTGCCCTCGCCAACTTCCAGGTTGGCAGCAGGAAACGGCCAAGCTCCCTCCTTCCTTCTCTCACCTGGGAATTCCAGCATGGCAATGGCACCTGGGCCAGCTTGGATGCCTCGCCGGACCGGAGCCCACCGTTCTTTGGAGAAAGCCCTCCAGGGGTTAACCAAGCTGCAACAGCTGGTGTGCCAACCTCAGGTGGCACTTCGGAATAGCCCGCCTTACCTGCCGTCCCTCCTGCCCTGGATCTACCAGCACCTGATCCTTATTCGGGAGCATTACGGGGCCGGTTTGGCCAAGGTTTGGGAATCAGATTTCTTTCGTATTTTTGTCCTGAATCTGCTGGAAAAGATTAAGCAAACCACACGGCTATTCAGAAGAGGGAAAAACAAGGAGGAGATTTTGCTGGAAGGCTCAGCTGCCAGGTAAAAAGAAAAAAAAGAAGAATATTTTATAACCGTTCGTTTTATTTTCATTGCATTTTTTTTTTAACTTCAGGATCTCACTGTATTGTTTTAATGTTGCAAGGTCTGGAAGCCGCTCCAAAGAAATACTTCTAAAATATTAAAACTACACTGTTTCAATTAGCTGCAATATTGTTTATTCATTCATTTATTTATTTAATAAATAAGCAATAATTATATATTGTAGCGAATTGAAACGCTGTAGTTCTAATATTTTAATTATCCTTTTACTTATTTTGTAATTTGTAAGCCGCCTAGATTCGTTTTTAGAGGGAATTTGGGCAGCATAAAAATTTAGTAAATAAAAATAAATAATATATACTGTGTTTCCCCGAAAATAAGACCCTGTCTTATATTTTTTTTGAACCCTGAAATAAGCGCTTGGCCTTATTGCCATGGGCTCAAAAGCCCGATTGGGCTTATTATTAGGGGATGTCTTATTTTGGGGGAAACAGGGTATCTATTTCCTCAATAATTATTCTTCGGTCCATAGTTAGGATTTAAATTATGAAGTGTTCCTGGTCTTGGTGAATCTAATTATAGATGATGATGATGAGGAGGAGGAGGAGGAGGAGGATGATACAATTTTTAATTGTGATACATTTTTAAATGTTCAGTTGACTGAGTTTCATGTTTAATGAATAAAAGAATAATAATAAAATTATTATTGTTATTATTATTATTATTTTAAGAAGATACTTGGTTGATATCTAGGATGCTGGCAGCAACCCGTATCAACCATCAGCGCCAGTCAATGTTATTTGTGATTTTAAATGTTCAGTTGACTGAGTTTCATGTTTAATGAATAAAAAAATAAAAATACAAAATGACAACAAACAAACAACAACAATAATAATAATACTGGTAATAATACAAACTGAGGTTGAACTATGTGATGTTGAACTGTTAATGGGAGACAATGACATCTGAAACGAAACATATTGGAGAGAAGCAGAATAGTAAAAAAACGAGGAATTTTTGTGCACGAGAGAAGGATAAGTGGACCGTATCATCCTAATCACCTCATCTTTGTGACTGTGTTAAGATCTCGATGGCTAGTTGGTGCCTGGTACTTAAGGAATGATGGGCAGAAAATGTTTTTATTTAGCCTTTCAATATTATGTACCTTTTATTACTTGACTTGTTAAATTGTTCAGTTTAGGGCAATATTTCTGAACCTTGGACACTTTAAGAGGCATGGACTTCAACTCCCAGCAACGCTGGCTGGGGAATTCTGGGAATTGAAGTCCATACCTCTTAAAGTGTCCAAAGTTGAGACACTGGTTTCGGGCCTGTATTCCAACTGCAAATATACAACCCTCCTTATACAGATGGATAACAGTCACACAAAACCGATAAAAAAAAAAACCCCAAGTCTAAATAAAGAGCTGTCTAAATATTATTTGTGGCCTAGGCGATTGCTACCTAAGATAGGCAGCCAAATATATCTTTTAAATACATAAGTATTGGCCAAAATATAAATGTAGGTAAAAAGTCAAAAAAAAAAAAAGAATATTTTACAAGCATTCGTTTTTATTTTCATTGCATTTTTAACAAAAATTCAGGATGTCTCTTTATTGCTTTAATGTTTTCATTGTTGCCTTGATATCAATGTCCGGAAGCCGCTTAGAGTCAGTCGCCTTTGTCGAACTCTGAAAAAATAGTTTAAAAGTATTAAAAGTACAGAGTTTCAATGAGATGTAATATAGAACTATTTATTTATTATTTTTAAACGTAGCTAACAAAGGGGAACCAATGAAGACACAGCAAGGCAACTTTCAAAGTGAAGTGTGAGAGCAAATAGTAATGGGGGGGGAAAGCAATATTTTATGTCCTAATAAAGTAGAATAACTCCTGTAACATCATAACTCACCCTTATAAACTCCAGTATCTCCATCTAGAGAAAAATGGACAAGAAATATTTGTTTTGCACTAAATGTGCAGCATTTCTCAAAGTCGGCGATGTTAAGATGTGTGAACTTCAACTCCCAGAATTCCCTCTTCTGCTGGGGAATTCTGGGAGTTGAAGTCCATCCCCTATTATTATTATTTATTTTTTATTTGATTTATATGCCGCCCTTCTCCGGAGACTCAGGGCGGCTCACAATGTGCCAAGCAATAATTATAATTGCCAAGGTTGGGAAACACTACTCTAGATCAGAGCTGGGCAACTATGGCCCTTTTATGACTTGTGGACTTCAATTCCCAGAATTCCTGAGCTAACATGGCTGGCTCGGGAATTCTGGGAGTTGAAGTCCACAAGTCATAAAAGGGCCATAGTTGCCCACCCCTGTTCTCTCTTTACAGAGAACTGTAAAATAGAAAAGATTGGACAGCCATTTATCCAGAATTGTATAAAGTCACCTGCTGGAGTAGGTCTAGAAGACCTCCAAGTCCCTTTCAATGCTATTATTCAGTCACTTTGGCCCCAAATCCTGCTTAAAAATCATAGCTCGATAATATAGGCGTATTAACCCATTGTTAAAAGCAGAAGAGGAAGGGCTGATAAACGAAAATAAGAACTATGTTTTACACCGTTTCCCCTTTATCAATGGCGATAGGGTGGTTTGATAAACAGCCTCAACTTTCCCACCTGTGGGCCCCCTCAGATAAAAAGCTAAATTCACAAGTGCCAGAGAGAAAGAGAGAGAAACCAGACTGGATTTTGAAAAAAAAAAAGAAAAAAGGGAGTGTCAGCTTATCAAACTACCTTTGGCACCCTTTGGGTCTGCATTAAGTAGTTAACCTGCCTCAGAATATGTCTGTTGCTGTAATTTCTATATACAGTAGCAGAACTATATTTGCAAAATAAGAGTAAAGTTAGCTGGGTTTGAATCAGGTCCGTTGGCCAAGTTATTGTTTATCCCTCTCCCAATCCTTGTCTGCCTTCCCACATCAGGCTAAGGCTAAGCCATGGTTTGTTAAAGGGGTGGCTACAAGGCACAAGGGATCTGAAAATCCAGGCCACACAGTTGCAGCTGCCATCTTGACTTATTTGACTTTCCCGCACCCGTCAACCTCACAGGCACTCCTGCTTTGCTTAACCCTAGATTTCTGACGAAGACCTGAATCCATGCGTTGAGCTAAGCCATAAACGGATTTACAAACCCGCAATGTTTGCTTTCCGCCAACAGTTTGAGCGACCGTAAACAGGATTGGGAGGATGTCTCTGTGGTTTTATTATAAGGCTTATTTGGGCCTCTTGCAACCCGGTTCTTTGGCCTTTCAACCTCAAATTGTGCCCCCCCCCCATTAAATATAAATGCTCTCTCCAGTTTTTAGGGATTATAATGGTTGCAAGAAAAGGAGGTTCGGGGTTGCACGCTGTCCACTTCTGGATAAATCTGACAATGATGGTCAAGGAAGGCCCATTCTGTGATTCTTTTAACCCGTTTGTAAAATGGATGCTTTTAAAGATGACATTTGGGGCCCCAAAGATGACGTTTGGGGGTCCCAGGCCTTTAATGAGCCTCCTCAAACATGTCCCTTGCGTCAGTTCTACCCTTTATTGACGGTCTAACACCCATTCATGGGTGATGGAGGAAATTCGTTGCTCTTCGGTGCCTGTCTCTTCTGCAGCTGCTATAAGCATCATATTGCAAAGTTTCCAGGCGCCAAGCAAACAGGGAGACGTGTTAGACTATTTCCGGCAGACAGGTGGGACCTGAACAAATTCACTTTTCTCCAGGCCAAACATATCAGCAAAGCTGTTCAATAAAGACTAGGCTGTCTTTTCTTTCTTTCTTTCTTTCTTTCTTTCTTTCTTTCTTTCTTTCTTTCTCTTTCTTTCTTTCTTTCTTTTCCTTTCTTTCTTTCTTTCTTCTTTCTTTCCTTCCTTCCTTCCTTCCTCTCTCTCCCCTCTCCCTTCTCCCTCTCCCTCTCTCTCTCTTCCTCTCCCTCCCTCTCTCTCGGCAGTGTTTGCAAACCATTATAGATTCGCAGGCTTGCTGAAGCTGGTAGGTAACAGGATATCAGAGTTGGAAGGGTCCTTGGAGGTCTTCTAGTCCAACCCCCTGCTTAGGCAGGAAACCCCATAGCATTTCAGACAAATGGTTATCCAATCTCTTCTTAAAAACTTCCAGTGATGGAGCATTCACAACTTCTGAAGGAAAGCCATTCCATTGATTAATTTTTCTCACTGTCAGGAAATTCCACCTTAGTTCTAGATTGCTTCTCTCCATGATTAGTTTCCATCCATTGCTTCTTGTTCTACTCTCAGGTGCTTTGGAGAATAGCTTGACTCCCTCTTCTTTGGGCAGCCCCTGAGATATTGGAAGACTGCTATTCACGTCTCCCCAAGTCCTTCTTTTCATTAAACTAGAGATACCCAAATCCTGCAACCGTTCTTCATATGTCTTCATTCTTCTAATTCAACTATTCCTTCCCTTCTCGTTGCAGGAGGAATCTAACGAAGCTTTCCCTGATCTTCAGTCACATGTTGGCTGAACTACAAGCCGTGTTTCCCAACGGGGAGGACCAAGGCAGCACGTACCAGCTGAGCAAGCAAGAGGCCCAGATCTTCTGGAGGGGCACCTGGAGGGAACGGTGAGCCCCCAAAAACCAGTTTTACAAGACCTTTACAACGCCTTCCCAAGGCGGACGAGATCTGTTCCTCATCACACGTTTTACTCTTCCTTTCTGCATGCATCCTGTCTCTGCTTCCATCAGTAGTACAGGAAGTCCTCGACTTACGACCACAATTGAGCCTAAAATTTCTGTGGCTAGACATTTGTTAAGGCAGTTTTGTCCCATTTTACGACCCTTTTTTTTGCCAGGGTTGTTAAGTGAATCGATGCCATTGTTAAGTTAGTAACCCAGTTGTTAATTGAATCTGGCTTCCCCACTGACTTGGCTTGTCAGAAGGCCGCAAAAAAGGGATCACACAACCCCGGGACACTGCGACAGTCATAAATACGAGTCAGTTGCCAAGAGTCTGAATTTTGATCACATGACCAGGAGGAGCCCACAACGGTCGTAAGTGTGAAAAATAGTCCTGAGTCACTTTTGTCAGTGCCGTTGTAACTTTGAACAGTCACTAAACAAAGTGTTGTAAGTCGAGGACTAAACAAACCCTGAATGAGCGTAAGCCTCCCAGAGTTATCTTATTTTTTAAAAAACCAATTTTATTGGGTTTTTTTTCTTTTCTCCTCTCCCATCTTCTCCAAAATCTTTCTTTTTTTTTGAACAGTGTTGATCGTTTCTTATCTTATACAGTTAGTCAAATTCAAATATATTTTACTCAATTATTTATTTATTTATTTATTTATTAGTTCGATTTATATGCCGCCCTTCTCGGGAGACTCAGGGCGGCTTACAATGCATTAAGCAATAGTCTTCATACTTTTGTATATACCTGCTTAGTAGGGCTTTTTTGCCCCCCCCCCAAGCGGTGTTCTATTTTATACAAAGTCAGCTTATTGCCCCCACAAACCAGGTCCTCATTTTACCCACCTCGGAAGGATGGAAGGCTGAGTCAACCTTGAGCCTGGTGAGATTTGAACTCACAGTAATTGCAGGCAGCTGGCAGCTAAATGCTACTTTAACAGTAGTTTAGTCCACTGCACCACCAGGCTCCCCCCTTTCCTTTTTTTTTTTTTTTTTTTGAATAGATCTCAGTATTTCTATACTTGCATACATAAATACCTTCTTCATTTATCCCTAAATTCTAACTTTACTATTTGTACATATTTATCCTCTTTTATTCTTAAGCAATTCATTCTTTTTCTTAATATATTTATATTTGTTTGTTCAGAGCTGCCTTCCTTCCACTTCATCTTGCCTTCCAGAGTTATCTTGTGGTAAGACGGGTGGCCAATAAATTGTATAAATGAATAGGTAAAGGTTCCCCTCGCACATATGTGCTAGTCGTACCCGACTCTAGGGGGCAGTGCTCATCTCCATTTCAAAGCCGAAGAGCCAGCGCTGTCCGAAGATGTCTCTGTGGTCATGTGGCCGGCATGACTCAACGCCAAAGGCGCACAGAACGCTGTTCCCTTCCCACCAAAGGTGGTCCCTATTTTTTCTACTTGCATTTTTTACCTGCTTTCGAACTGCTAGGTTGGCAGAAGCTGGCACAAGTAACAGTAACAGAGTTGGAAGGGACCTTGGAGGTCATATAGTCCAACCCCCTGCTCACGCAGGAGACCTCTACTAGGGATTCGAACCGCCGACCTTTCTGATCGACAAGCTCAGCGTCTTAGCCACTGAGCCACCACGTCCCTTATAAATGAATATATAAATATTATTCTCCAAGTTCTTGGGGAAGCCTTTCAAACAATCCTGAGTCCTTTGTCTGGAATAGGACTTCATCCCGATTTCAATTCTATCGGGATAGGGAAAAGCAATACGAAATTATTGCAACCAGCTTTTAAAAGTCCAAATTGATTTGAATTTTCTCTTGATTAACGAACCTGATTGACTATTGTTGTTCTTCGGCTTTGATTGGACTCTTAAGTGCTTTTCCTGCCGATGTTTTATGATGCTAGGGTTGGTTAAATTCACTACTTTAATCCTGTTTATCTACAATCGATAGGATTGAAAGCTTCTTAGAGTTGACGTTCGATGGAAAGGGCCTATCCGCCAAGAAAAATAAAAAACAAATAAGTTATTACCTTTTCATACATCCTTATGAGGCATTGTGTGTGGGCCGACCATAATAAGAAAAAGCATCAACCTTTGAACTGAAATGGTTTAATGATATCTCGGATTCCCAGACCTTGGAAATGGTAGATCTGTAAAGAGGTCTACTTATTGCTGTCTTGGACAATTTTCAGAGTTCACTCTACACGCTTCTTCACGGGATGTTGAAACATGCATGTTCACGCCCATAAGTATCACAATTCCCTTCAGTCCCACTCCTGGGTTCTCATATAAACTGAATAACAAGAGTCCTTCGGAAGTAGGGCGGTATATAAATCAAATAAAAGTAAAAGTAAAGTAAAAGTACAACCTCCAGTGATGGAGCATTCACAATTTCTGGAGGCAAGCAGTTCCACCGGTTAATTGTTCTCACTGTCAGGAAATTTCTCCTTAATTCTAAATTGCTTCTCTCCTGGATGAGTTTCCACCCATTGCTTCTTGTCCTACCCTCAGGTGCTTTGGAGAATAGCTTGACTCCCTCTTCTTTGGGGCAGCCCCTCAGATATTGGAAGACTGCTATCATGTCTCCCCTGGTCCTTCTTTTCATCAAACTAGACATACCCAGTTCCTGCAACCGTTCTTCCTATGTTTTAGCCTCCAGTCCCCTCATCATCTTGGTTGCTCTTCTCTGCACTCTTTCTAGAGTCTCAACATCTTTCTTAAATCGTGGCGACCAACACTAGATGCAATATTCCAAGTGTGGTCTTCCGAAGGCATTATAAAGTGGTATTATTAATATTTCTTGTGATAATGATTCTATCCCTCTGTTAATGCAGCCTAGGACTGTGGCAGCTATAACCTTTCCTTTTCCTTCTCTTTAGGAGCCTGGTTCCTTGGACTGAATTTCAAAAAGGTCTCCAGCAAGTCCATTCAGTAGATTCTGGTCCAATGGCCGTAGCCCTGAAGTCCACCATTGACCTGACTTGCAGTGGCCATATCTCCATATTTGAATTTGACATCTTCACTCGTCTCTTTCAGGTAGATCGTGGGAAGCTATTTATTTATTTACATTTATTTCACTTTGCTTTCATCCCACCTTTATTATTTTTATAAGAAATATACTTGATACTCCTTCCTCCTCCTATTTTCCATACAACAACAACCTTGTAAGGAGGGGCTGGGCTGAGAGAGGAGGACTGGCCCAAAGTCCCCCCCCCCAGCCAGCTTTCATTCCTAAAGTGGGACTAGAACTCACGGTCACCTGGTGATTGGCCCAAAGTCTCCTCAGCCAGCTTTCATTCCTAAAGTGGGACTAGAACTCACGGTCACCTGGTGATTAGCCCATAATCTCCCCAGCCAGCTTTCATTCCTAAGGTGGGACTAGAACTCACGGTCACCTGGTGATTGGCCCAAAATCCCCCAGCCAGCTTTCATTCCTAAGGTGGGACTAGAACTCACGGTCACCTGGTGATTGGCCCAAAATCCCCCAGCCAGCTTTCATTCCTAAAGTGGGACTAGAACTCATGGTCACCTGGTGATTGGCCCAAAATCCCCCAGCTGGCTTTCATGCCATCCGCAGTGTTTCTACTTTAACACTGAAAATGAAACATGCCACAGATACACGTCGTCGAAGGGTTTGAAAAAAAGGAAGACGTTTGGAAGCTTTTTTAGGCGCAAGTGAGCTGAATTGGGGGGCGAAGAGAGCAGCCTCGTAAATCATCCTTGAAGTTTGATGCTGTTTCTCTCTCTCTCTTTTCTCTCTCGACTATCAGTCGGTGAGTTGTTGATCGCGGGCAGGATGTGGCTTTGTGGGGTCCATCCTTCAAGGCTGCCAGGGTGGGTGGAAAGCGAGGGTCAACGGAGACGGAGCTGCAAAAAAAAAAAAAAGTTTCCATTTCTGAAAGTGGAAAAACAGCTCGCCTTCTTCAAAGAATGTGGGTGGAGAACTGAGGTGCTCAATCAACAGCCTTGAATGCTTGGCTCGATTCACAAAAAAGTAAACCGCAAAAAATGGGTGTCAAAAGAACCGCCGGGGTTCAAATCGGCAGCTTCCTCGGAACTGACCCCTTTGGCTGGATTTCCAGAACGAGCCATCAAGGGGGGCAACCGAAGAAATTGGGTCTCCACCAGGCCGTCCTAGCATCTAAGGACCAAAAGGAACAGGGGCAACATTTTCAGCGGTGCAGGCAAGCAGAAGGGCAGGGCTGGTGGCGGAAACCGTGAGGTCCATGAAGAAGTCGGTGCTCTCCCCACACTTTAGCCACACAGACAATGGGTGATATCACAGTGGAAAAAGTTCTGCATTCTGCCGTCTCCAGCACAGGGGTGAAATCCAGCAGGTTCTGACAGGTTCTGGAGAACCGGTAGCGGAAATTTTGACTAGTTCGGAGAACCAGCAAATACCACCTCTGGCTGGTCCCAGAGTGGGGTGGGAAGGGAGATTTTGCAGTATCCTTCCCCTGGAGTGGGGTGGGAATGGGGATTTTGCAATATCCTTCCCCTGGAGTGGGGAGGGAATGGAGATTTTGCAATAACTTTCCCCCAGAAGTGGGGAGGGAATGGAGATTTTGCAATATCTTTCCCCCAGAAGTGGGGAGGGAATGGAGATTTTGCAGTATCCTTCCCCCAGGAGTGGGGAGGGAATGGGGATTTTGCAGTATCCTTCCCCTGGAGTGAGGTGGGAATGGGGATTGCAGTATTCTTCCCCCCAAGAGTGGGGAGGGAATGGGGATTTTGCAGTATCCTTCCTCTGCCACGCCCACCAAGCCACGCCCACAGAACCGGTAGTAAAAAAATTTGGATTTCACCACTGCTCCAGCATCCTGGGTTTGCAACATCTTGCAGTCGCCTCTAGGCGAGATCAGCAGCATACACCTTTAATAAATAAATACCTTTTTTACAAATAGCTTGTAGTTTCAACATATTTTAGGAAGCACCCAGTCCTGTCAGGGAGAAGGAACCAAGTGTAAAGTTAATTTGGAGTTTCTGCACAATCACAAAAAGCTAGGGCCAAGCCCTCCTGAATTCCTTGGAACCTTATCTAATTGTTCCTAAGAACTGGCTGCCGGATTGGGAGATACCTGAACAGGTAGACCTTGACTTACAACAGTTTGTCTGCTGCTGACCATTCAAAGTTAGAATGGCGCTGAAAAAGGTGACTTATGATCGTTATTCACACTTCATCATCTTCTTTTAATGACCTCATAATCCCTTGCGGGGTGGAGTCTGGCCAACTGAATGGAGCTAGCAGAGTGTTTTAATGGCCGAATGCCTTTCCTGTCGCCGATGAGGAGTTTTGTTCAGCAGATATATTCTCAGTGTGTCCAGAGAGAGAAATATCTGCCTCTACCTAGGATCGAACTCACAGCCTCCTGATTGCAAGGGGAGCTCCACCTCTAGGTCACCACACCACTCTATCGTTTTTCACACTTATACTCTCTAAATTTGTCTATTAAATAAATGAATACAGGTATTCCCCAACTTACTACAGTTTATTTAGCGACCATTTGAAGTTATAACAGCACTGAGTTAGTGACTTACGGCTGTTTTTCTCACTTACGACGGTTACAGTGTCCCGGGGGCCACGTGATCCCCCTTTTGCGACTCTATATGACAAGCCACGTCAATGGGGAAGCCAGACTCATTTAACAACGGTGACAAGGAAGGCCGTAAAACGGGCATAAAACTCACTTAACAACCGTCTCGCTTAGCAACAGCAATGTTGGGCTCGATTGTGGTCGTAAAGTCGAGGACTACCTGAATTCTAGGCAGAACGTAATAAAGTAGTTAGCTCGAATTCTGCACGCGCGGGTTCCTGTTTGTTCGCACCTGACAACACACCCCAAAATGATCAGTCTCACCAGGCTCAAGCAGCTGTGTGAAATGAGAAAACTGAACAGTAAACTGTGATTTATCCTGAGGCAAAAAAATTTTTTAAAATGCTCTCAACTTGTCAGTTGATTCTCTCAGTTTTTTCCTTGCGAAAAGCTGTGAACGTGAATCTGGATTTAAGATGGCATTTTCTATTATCGGCTTTCCTTCCCCGTCTGATTCTTTTCCCATTTTCTCTTCACAGCCTTGGCCAACTCTGTTGAAGAACTGGACTTATCTAGCAGTAACACACCCAGGTTACATGGCGTTCCTCACTTACGACGAGGTGAAGGCGCGGCTGCAGGCATATGTCAACAAACCGGGCAGGTAAACTCTCTAGGGATTGTATTAATCTGGGGAGGGGGGGGGTTGGATCTCAAAAGAACTGCTCTCTCAGGCCTCCGCTAGTTGATCTTATAATAAACTTTAATACAATATTTTTTAACAAATCATTTTTTCCTGGAAGCGCTGTAAAACTGCATACATATTGTTAGAAGTAGTTCTCGCTTAACGATGGTCATTGGGAACTCCAATTTCCATCGTTAAGTGGAACGTCATATAGCCATGCTGCTTAGCGACGGGAGTTCCAGCAGCCCCTAATTACTATCATTAAGCAAATCACTGTGGGTCGGTATGCGAGGACCTCATGCGATCAGAAGGTTCGATTTCCCACCGGCTTCCCCATTGACATCGTGGGAAGCCGGCAGGGAAGGTTGCAAATTGTGATCACATGACCACCTTGGCTGAGGAATTCTGGGAGTTGGAGTCTAGACATCTTAAAGGGGCCACGTTTGAGAACCACAAATTCTGCAGGAAGTTTGTCTTTTCCTAGCTTAACGTCTGCCCCCCACTCGGGTTCAAACTAGCTTGCTCGCAAAGCGTTCTCCGTAGCCATAACTCTCCCTGCCACCCCAATTTTGGATTTAAATTCTTGCTGTCTTTCTCCCACAGCTACATTTTCCGGCTCAGTTGCACCCGGTTGGGCCAGTGGGCGATCGGCTACGTGACGGCAGATAGAAGCATCTTGCAAACCATCCCACAGAACAAGTCTCTTTTCCAGGCCTTGGTGGATGGACACAAGGAAGGCTTGTGAGTATCAGAGACGCAAGTGGGCATAAGAGGATTATCCTTGATTAGAAATCCATAACAGATCCATAACATAAGGGGTTCCCACCCTCTGGAATCAGTTGCCCCCTGAGATAAGGAGAATCCATGACCTCAGTGCCTTCCGCCGTGCCCTTAAAACCTTCCTTTTCCAACAAGCCGGGCTGGCCTAATTCTTTTTAAGTGTTTTTAATTGTTTGGTTTATTGTTTTAATTAATGGGGCCAAATTTATATATATTTTTTTAACTGTATTTTAATATTTGTATCTGATGTTTTTATTTGGCTGTTCACCGCCCTGAGTCCTCAGGGAGAAGGGCGGTATACAAATTCAATAAATAAATAAATAAATAAATAAATAAATAAATAAATAAATAAATAATATCTTTCCTCTGGATCAACCAATGACACAACAGAATGGGCAAGCTGTCAAAATCTCCGGAACGAAGACTTTGAGTTGATCCAAATTTGGATTTATGGAATAATGTAACTCTGGGGTTCTACCGTGTTTCCTCAAAAATAAGACATCCCCTGATAATAAGCCCAATCGGGCTTTTGAGTGGATGCGCTAAAATAACCTCCCCAAAATAAACCTCCTGAAAATAAGCCCTCCCCGAAAATAAGCCCTTCCCAAAAATATTTAAATGTGTGCGCAGCTGGTCCTGGCCATTTCCTCTGGTTAGGGTTAGGGAGACAGAGCTGGAAATCAGGTAAGACAGCAAGAGGAGCCCCGTCTTGCTCCACGCGCCCCAAAATAATAAGACCTCCCCGAAAATAAGGCCAAGCGCTTATTTCAGGGTTCAAAAAAATATAAGACAGGGTCTTATTTTTGGGAAAACATGGTATTTATCTATTTATTAGATTTTTATTCCCGCCTTCATAACTTCATAAGTAATTCAAGGTGGCAAATACACCTAATACAGGTAGTCCTTGACTTACAACTGCTCATTTAATGACCTTTCAAAGTTACAATGGCACTGAAAAAAAAGAGACTTCTGAGCATTTTTCATACTTACGACCGTTGCAGCCCAAAGTCACATGATTAAAATTCAGACACTTGGCAATGGATTCATATTTATGACCTGTTGCAATGTCCCGGGGTCATTTGATCCCTTTTCCAGACCGTCTGATAAACACAAAGTCAATTGGGAAGCCGGATTCACTTAACAAGTGTCACTAACTTAACAACTTCAGTGATTCACTTAATAACTGTGACAAGAAAGGTCGTAAAATAGGACAAAATTCACTTAACATAGGTCTCACTTAGCAACAGAAATGTTGGGCTCAATTGTGGTCTTAAGTCAAGGGGTACCTGTACTCCTTCCTCCTCCTATTTTCCCCACAACAACAGCCCTGTGAGGTGAGCTGGGCTGAGAGAGAGGGGGGGGGACTGGCCCAAAGGCAGCCAACTAGGAATTCTGGGAGTTGAAGTCCACACATCTTAAAGTTGAGAAACAGTGGTTTAAAAAGGTGCCTCTGTCTTGTAGCTACCTGTATCCGGATGGGAAAAACGTGAATCCGGATCTGGCAGAATTGATGGAAGGCTCTGCTCGAAACCGAATTCAGGTCTCCCAGGTAAGTTAGTCCTTACAGGCCTGCAGGTGTTGGGTATATAGAGGTGTTAAGGCTGGAAGAGCTATAGGCCGCACACTCTTAGGAATTGTTCATGCCATAACCCTCAGTCGTTTTCCAGTAGATGATAGTAGTAGATATAAAAATATAGATAGATAACGGAAAGATGACATGGATGGATGGATGGATGGATGGATGGATGGATGGATGGACGGACGGAGATAGATAGATGATGGATGGATGGATGGATGGATGGATGGATGGATGGATGGATGGATAATATAGAATGAACCTATACAGGTAGTCCTCTACTTACAACAGTTTGTTTAGTGACCATTTGAAGTTACAACGGCATTGAAAAAAGTGACTTATTACCGTTTTCCATCATTGCATGTTGAATTTTCACCATTTCACCAATGACCATTGCAGCATCTCCATGGTCACATGTTTACATTCGGATGCCTGACAACTGACTCAACTTTATGACAATTGCAGTGCCCCGGGATCATGTGATCCCCTTTTGCAACCTTCTGATAAGCAAAGTCAATGGGGAAGCCAGAGTCACTGACCACACATGTTACTGCTTTAAGAACTGCAGTGATTCACTTAACGAATGTGGCAAGAAAAGTCATAAAATGAGACAAAACTCAGTTAACAAATTTCTCACTGAGCAACATAAAGTTTGGCTCCATTGTGGTCATAAGTTGAGGACTACCTATATTATATATTTTACAAACAGTTTATAGAAAGGATTCTGCTGTAAAGGGATAATATGAGATGTAACTCTCAACCCCATGACAAAACTCTCTTTATGTATCTTGACACCTTAATTATATTGAAAGGTGCTTTAAGCACCAAGCTATCTTTCACTGAGAAAGGAGAAAATAATTTGCACAGCAATTCCACACACATACAAAATATCTACAACATTCTCACTGAGAGTTGAAACTGCTGTCAAAAGTATAATTTAAGAGGACTTACGAATTATTTTCTTTCTGGCTCTTAAATCCTTGGTCTTTTTGAAGAGGTGTTGTACCGACTTTGTGATTACACAGTGGAGTGGAACTTAAAATGGGATTGTCCAGATCCAGACTTTCTTGGATAGAAGAAGTGCTGAAGAACTGCAAATGTATATTTTTATGGAATTAATGGTTTTTAGCTTTTGAAACAGTGTAATCAAGTAAAACCAAGAAGAAGTGAAGAAAAGGAACTCACAGTGTAACTTTGTGCATCAGTACTAATTTCATCTAAGAGTCTGTATGCTGTTATGCATTTTGATTACTGTATTTCCAAAATTTTACATTTCTATTGCTTAAGCCTATTCAAATCTATTTTTTTTAGATTTGTTCCAAGATGATATTTAAAGAGTAACTACCTGTTTCAGTGGAATTTTAGCTATCAGGGAAGAACAAATTTGCTTTCTGAAGATTGTTGAATCCTCCAGCTAAAGTAGAACAAACATAGGATTTTTTTTTTTAATAGAAACAAGTAAAAAAATATAATTCCCTATTTTCTTTGTTAAAACATTACTTTGCTTTAACAGCATGGGTAGTAAAGGATGCACAGAGCTTTTAAAATGTAAAATTTGGTTTTGTTTGCAAAAGACTGTTACCATTTAGAAAAGAAACCCAGAACTGCAGTACTAGTAAAGATGAATTCATTAACTCATCATTTTAGATTGTTCCAAGAAAAGGTCCAGCAGTTTATTTAAGCAAACACTTTTATGTTTAAATCTTCTATGTGACCAAGACAATTTAAGTATATCCATTCAACTGATTTGTAAGTCACATTGCACAGTTCCTCCAATACCCCCCAAATTTATTTTCATTATTAGGTTAATGTGATTTTCTTTTTTAAAAATGAACTTGTTAGTACATAATTTGGAAGTTATTGTTTAGCCCAAATTCTGGGATTATATGAAACATCCTGCAAAATGGATGAAATAAAAAATGATTACGGGAAATAGGAATGCTAATTTTGGACAGATGAAGGAAATTACAAGGCAGAATAAAGCAAACAGACAACAAATCCTCCCCAAATCATCAAGAATTAAGTATACAGGTAAGTTAGATTGTTTGCTCTCTAAACTCAACAGTGGTAGATTCAAAATCAGAATGCAATTAACAAGCACAGCAGAGATTAGTCATTTGCCCCAAAGATTAGTTTCTCCGTGTTGTTAACACTTTACTGACTTAGAGAATTAGTAACATTTAAACAAAGTTGCTCTACCTGGGAAGGAGAGAAAGGCAGGCTTTTGACAGGGGAATGCTTAGGAGTTGAGCTGCTGACTTCAGCAAGAATGAAGGACTTATTATGACCATTGGCTAAATGGTTCATGGAATGGCTTCTCTTTGCACGCAGAATGACCAATGGAGCTGGGCCACATTTGGAGCCAGTCAAGGACTTTGGTAAGGCAAAGGAATCCTGACTCAACATGGCTTTGCTCAAGTCTGCAAGAGGGTGTCCTTCAGGCCTACACACACTGCTGTCTGTTTTCTGAAGCTGTGGGGTTCTGTCTGAGGGAACCTGTGTAGGTGAAGCATTTGATGTTTCTGAGAATTCAAAACTGCTGAGATCACCCCATGACGACAGATCCTGGAAACAATGGGGGAAGCCACGAGTCTATGAGAGAGTGCATATTCCTCCCACCTATTTTAAGAAGCTCAACTGAATTACTAACACAGAATTAACCCAAAGGAGAAAGATTGGTTCCTTTTAATTGAGTTTGACCCAATTGTGATACTTTCTCAAAATGTAAAAATTTAAGATACAAATCATCCTAATGATATATTCCAAAAAAGAACAAGCTTTATCTCAAACTGGCTGTTCATTCAATTATAAAGTCTTATTACACAAATATATTTTACTGACTAAATTTATACAATAGCAACATCCTTAAATGGAAAATTGTGTATCAATCAGTATTTATAATGTTATAAATGTCATGTATTTTTAGTTTATTAAAACTCTTGTCGCAAATTACAGTGCTTAAAAGTAACACATATTCTTACTCTTCAGTTAGAATCTTTAAAAATACAATGATTTTATTGAAATTGTGATTAAAAAAAAAAACCATCAGCACTATAAAAAAGCTGGGATCCAGAAGTCTAATATATTACTGAAATAAGAGATGAAAAAAGTGACTTATGACTGTTTTTCAGTTACGATCTTTTTTTTTTTTTTTTTTTGCTTTAATTTATATGCCGCCCTTCTCCGGAGACTCAGGGCGGCTTACAATCCGTTAAGCAATAGCCTTCATACTTTTGTATATTTATACTTTGCAGTATCCCCATGATCTTATGTGCAAAATTTAGATGCTTGGCAACTGGTTCATACTTACAACCATTGCTGTGTCCCAAGGCCATGTGATTACCTTTTCGGACCTTCTGACAAGCAAAGTCAATGGGGAAGCCACATTCACTTAACAACCGTGTTGCTAACCTAACAACTGCAGTGATTCACTTAACAAATGTGGCAAGAAAAGTCGTAAAACGGGGCAAAACTCACTTAACAAATTTCTCACTTAGCAACAGAAATGTTGGGCTACTTGTGATCGTGAGTAAAGGACTACCGTGTTTCCCTGAAAATAAGACCCTGTCTTATATTTTTTGAACCCCAAAATAAACGCTTGGCCTTATTTTCGACGTGGTCTTATTATTTTGGGGCGCATTGAACAAGATGGGGCTCCTCATGCCGTTTTACCAGATTTCCAGCTCTGTCTCCCTAAACCTAACCAGAAGAAATGGCAGGGACCGGCTGTGCATGCGTTTAAATATTTTTGGGGAGGGCTTATTTTATCGCATGTGCTCAAAAGCCCGACTGGGCTTATTATCAGGAGATGTCTTATTTTTAGGGAAACAGGGTACCTGTATTTAGCCTTTTGTGCTGGTGGCCTGAACATTTAGTAAAGAATGACCATATATATAAGAAAACATTACTGCTGTAAACATAGCAGGCAGATTCCCCTAACAGTCACATTTTCAGAAAATGAACATTCTACTTACGGAATCTATTAGCTGAAGTGTTTCTGCAAATTCTAAGAGATTCTTAACATTATCCAGGAAGTTACTCTGGTGAACAATCATGCACCTTGCAGGGGATGCACTTTCTTCAGGCAAGCAGCCATGGTCCATGGGTGGGGATGCAGTGCAGTGATGCTCCCCCAAAGAGGAAATGGCTGCACCATTACCGCTGGTTCTGGTATTGTCTGCAATCGTGGTGCTGTGCCATCCTGGATAATCTGAAGTGTGATTCTGAGTCTAAAAAGAGGGGGAAGCGGGATGAGAAGGGAAAGTGGAGAAAGAAAGAGAAAGGCAGAAGGAACTTAGTAATGAAATTGCACAAGGCGTCAGATGGCTGTTAAAGGAAAAGATAAAAGTGGTTGCATCACTTAAGCACTTAATGCCTATGAAACAGTTGTCAAGATGTTTCCTTTCATCAGTGCAGCAAGAGCGGGTTTTAGAAGGGTAGATGATTTATAGCTCTCATTTTGGCATTACCTCATTTGGGCAACAACTCTGCATCCTGGGCAAGTAAGTATAATTTTAAGCCACACAATCATGGCGTTGTTTCACCAAAGTAGCTGAATTTATTTTCCTGGTGAGAAGCAAGGAAATAGCAGATTTTCTCTAATGCAAGCTCACGCTTGTCTGTACCTAAAGGATTTAGAAGTTAAATCTTTTAGGTCTGCTCTATTATCACATCTGAAGTTACCTGAAGTGGTCTGATTTATTTTTATGGGTCAAGATTAGAACTAGCATCAACTTTTTTGGGACTTTTTTCCTATCCCTGTTTAGCACTACAGTTTACACCAATGCAATGGAAAGGCTGTAAAATCAATGTGGTTAAGAAAGCAGAAAAGCAAATTAATAGAAGTCTCTTTATAGTATCACCATGCAAGACAAGAAATTGCAAAATATAAGACGAAAATTAGACGTGGCCAAACTAACATGGCATCATGCACACAGTTGCCTTGTCGTATTAACTAGAAATTAAATATTGACAGAATTCAATTATGCACAGAGGTTTCTGCTGGCTACCACTTGGGGTTTTTCTGCAATACCTGTATTAATTCATTTCATAAATTGGTTTGTTATTTTTCCTTTTTAAAAGAAACAGGGAGGGAAAACAAATTTATCTATTAGTGTGCCGTAATACTTCGGTTTGATGCATGCAGTTATGGAATCTAACTTTCCTTAAAGAAAACATGAAGAAGATCATGACATGACTTGGACTGTGATTCCCAAACCACTTGGAATTGTAGTCTCCCAAGCCAATTAAACTAGATGCAACATGTCCACGATGCAATATGTACGCCAAAAGTGGCCCAGGCAAATGATGCTTGTGGCATTCTGAAAAGCAGCAGGTAAGCAGGGTGTGGACAGAGAGAGGCTTCACTCTTTGCCTGCTTCTTTCCTGTTGCTCACTTGCTTCTGAGAAGAGCGCTACTGGGGTTTGGGCGGAGGGAAGAGCTACATACAGTATGTCTTGTATTATTATTATTATTATGGTTGGTTGCACAATAAGCCAGATGTTTAGACTGGATTTGGCATTTGTATCTATTTATTGAGTCCTTCCCAAGGACTTCAGGTAGGCAGGTGCTGTTTGATGGTATTAAAGGAATCGTTGCAGGATGTGGGCTGTTCAAGTAAAGCTACCTTTTCCAATTGACCGGTGGTGATTTTCTCATGTCAATTATGTTCAAGTGGTGCTCCAGTTATTTTGGAGTTGCATCCAAGGTGCCCACTACTATTGCTCCTTTAATATTCTTGCCTGCTATTGTCCTCACAACAACACTGCAAGGTGGTTTGCACTAAGAGAGAGTTGACTGCCCCAAGCCACCACTCACATGGCTTTCATACTTAAGGAAAGTCTAAAACTTAAGACTTCTGGTTTTTAGGACAGTACCTTTCACCATTACATCAAAATGGCTTTAATATGTGTTAAATGTTTAATATATAAAGGAAGAATCAACACAATTGTCCATTTGGATTCCTCTCAAGTTTTCGTTTTCTGCCCCTAAGTTCAATTCATCCTATTTCTACAGTGGGTTGACTGTGCATGTTTTTTTAAAACGGCATACAAATTATAGATCTTTCTGTGTATACTTGTTCCCATAGATGCATTTTGCATGCTATTTTGTCTAGCATGTTTTTTGTGCAAACAAGCAATAACTCATTTCTCTAGTAATATCAACTACTAAAAGAATTTCTGAGTATATTATTCACTTTTGCACATATTTCTTCATCAGAGAACTGCAAAATCCAAATGGCTTTTCATTTTCCATTATTTTGGAAGTGTGAAATGACACATTGGGTGAAAAGGGTGGCTATTAAATTAAATATTCTATGGAAGTTTCAGAATCACAGGACAAAATAACATGTAGCTGATGAAATGCACCATGGAGAAACAAAATGCAAGAGTTAGACACTACATTTCCATTATGCAAAGTAATGTAAGTTCTTCATTTCTCATATTTCATATCAGCATAAATCAGGTAAGAAGGCTATAATATTTTGTCCCAGTCAATGGAAATATAGAGTCCCAATTAGTAACATATAAAAAGAGAGAAAATGAAGGAAGAGGAAGAGAGAGAAAAAGTGAAGAGAAGCACTGGGGTAAAGCTGCTATCCCTCCATCCAAATACACGGGGACATTCTTACTGGTAATGCCTGCTGCCCTTTCAGTTCATTCTCAGTCGACATTAGTAGCAATTCTAATTCCTTTATTCGTTTTTCTTTCTCAGGGTCTTCATCATTATAGTGTCTCTGAAATTAAGAGTTAAGGGAAAAGAGAAAGTAAAGGCCCAGCCAGATGCTGCAGTCACCATGATAAGAATGGCCAGTGCCATGTTGTAGATAGGCCTAAGAGACTGCTACCGACTGAAGAATGTCTCCACTAAACTTTTACAGAGATTCATGTTGAGAACATGAGACTAAAGATATCATTCTGGAGTGATTTCTAACTTTTCACCTCATTTCAACATTGCATCCTCTCTCATCTCCTTTTTAGAATGTAAATATAACACTAGGTTTCCCTGATAACTGGGTTGAGCAAATGAGAGGTTAAAGTATGCCTCCTTTCCTGGAATATATTTCCCCCTTCTGCTTTTGCAGTTTTTCTTCACCAAATCTGAGTATATGTTGCTCAAAGAGCATTTCTTCTAAACCAGTGTTTCCCTATCTTGTAAATCTGAAGATGTGTAGACTTCAACTCCCGGAATTCCACATCTTTTCAAGACTGGAATAAAATTTGCTAGCAGTAGAGCTAGCCCACAGCATTTATCTACAAAATTATTTCTTTAACATTTGCCATAAAACATGAAAGACCTTTGCTTTGCTTGACTACAAAATAAAGTATTTGCATCTAATTTGCACACCAGATCTACATCAAATTGACTCTTCAAATTATCTTTAAAATAATCTACCTGAATAGCTGCAGCAGCTGGCTGGGGTACATTAACATATTTACATGAAGTGCTACTGGATATGGGATCTGAGGAGAGACCTATGCCAAAAAAATGAACAAAACAAAACACAAATAAAAAAATGTAAATTATTTGTCATGCTAAAATACTTCCTAATTACATAACTGGCTTAAAGAAACAACAAAAGCCTTCACATTAATCATTCTATTTCCTTGAAATGAACTATATCAAGAAAAAAAGAAAAAAAAAAGAAAGAAAGAAAAGGAAGAAGGGAGAAGAAAAAAGGAAGAAATATAAATTGAAGAAAACCCAACAACGGAGGCATCACGAAAAGATAGAGTCACTTCAAGGAAATAGAATGATTAATGTGAAGGCTTTTTGTTTCTTCTTTAAGCCAGTTATGTAATTACAAAGATTTTAGCATCATAATTAACATATCAATTTTTTTATTTATGGCAGTGAATTTGTTATATTTTTGAGCATAGGCCACTCCCACAGATCCCATATCCTATTGTGCACTTCATGTAAAAATGTACTGTGACCCCAGCCGCCTACTCATAAAAATAAAAAAAAAAAAAAAAGGGGGGGGGGGGGACCTCAGGGGGGGGGTTGGGGCAAAGGTTTAAAGGGTTATTATTAATGGCCCAAAGTAAAAATAAAGGGTGGGGGGAAAATTCATTGGCAAACTGGGGGGAGAAAAAAATTGACAAGTTATTATCTATACTTGGTTATCTATATATAATATAAAATTGGGGATAAAATAAGAGTAAAAGTGAAGGATTTAGGGGGTTTTTGGGGTTTAATTATATTATTTTTTGGGGACTTGGGAAATGTGGGTTGTTTGGGGGGGGGGGTGGGATGGGGGGGTTTCAACAGGGGGGTGTATTGTTGGGGGGGGGGGGGGGGGGGGTTTTTTTTATTTTTATTGGTAATTTTTTTTTTTTTTTTTTATTTTTTTTTTTGTTTTTTTGGGCTTTAATTTTTTTTTTTTTTTTTTTTTTTTTTTTTTTTTTTGCTGGATAGCAATTAATTCTAAAATTCAGGGGGGTGGGGGTAATGTGTGGTGGGGATGGGGGGTCTTGTTCCAGGGTGGGGTTTGGGTGTTGGTGGGGGGGGGGGTTTTTTTTTGTGTGGTGTTTATTGTAAAGACTGGGTGAGGTATTTGGGTTCAAGGGAAAAATTGAAATTTTTTTGGAGGGTTTTTTTTTTTTGGGAAAAAGGAATTTTAATTTTGGTGTTTTTTTTAATTTTTGTAATTTAGTTATTTTTAGGATTTTTTTTTTTTTTGAATTTGCATTTTTTTATTTTTTGTTTTTTTTTTTTGTTTTTTTCATATTGTTAGGGTCCTCAGGCAGATGCTGCAGCTGTTCATGTAAGGGGTTTTAATGTACCCCACCAGAAGGTTTGGTTTATTGTTAAGATAATTTGAAGTCATTTTGATGTTGTGGTGTGCAAATTAGATGGTTTTATTTGTAGTGTGAGTAGGAGTATTTTGTAGTGGCAAATGTTAAGCTAATTTTGTAGAAAAATGCTGGGTAGAGTCTACTGAGCATTTTATAGTTGAAAAGATGTGGTTATGGGGGGTGATAGTTACAAGGAGAGAAAAAGAGAAAAGTGGTGAGCAACATTATACTCAGATTTGGAAGAAAAAGCAAAAGCAGAAGGGGAAATATATTGGAAAGGAGGCATACTTTAACCTCTCATTTGCTCAACCCAGTTATCAGGGAAACCAGTGTTATATTTACATTCTAAAAAGGAGATGAGAGAGGATGCAATGTTGAAATGAGGTGAAAAGTTAGAAATCACTCCAGAATGATATCTTTAGTCTCATGTTCTCAACATGAATCTCTGTAAAAGTTTAGTGGAGACATTCTTCAGTCGGTAGCAGTCTCTTAGGCCTATCTACAACATGGCACTGGCCATTCTTATCATGGTGACTGCAGCATCTGGCTGGGCCTTTACTTTCTCTTTTCCCTTAACTCTTAATTTCAGAGACACTATAATGATGAAGACCCTGAGAAAGAAAAACGAATAAAGGAATTAGAATTGCTACTAATGTCGACTGAGAATGAACTGAAAGGGCAGCAGGCATTACCAGTAAGAATGTCCCCGTGTATTTGGATGGAGGGATAGCAGCTTTACCCCAGTGCTTCTCTTCACTTTTTCTCTCTCTTCCTCTTCCTTCATTTTCTCTCTTTTATATGTTACTAATTGGGACTCTATATTTCCATTGACTGGGACAAAATATTATAGCCTTCTTACCTGATTTATGCTGATATGAAATATGAGAAATGAAGAACTTACATTACTTTGCATAATGGAAATGTAGTGTCTAACTCTTGCATTTTGTTTCTCCATGGTGCATTTCATCAGCTACATGTTATTTTGTCCTGTGATTCTGAAACTTCCATAGAATATTTAATTTAATAGCCACCCTTTTCACCCAATGTGTCATTTCACACTTCCAAAATAATGGAAAATGAAAAGCCATTTGATTTTGCAGTTCTCTGATGAAGAAATATGTGCAAAAGTGAATAATATACTCAGAAATTCTTTTAGTAGTTGATATTACCTAGAGAAATGAGTTATTGCTTGTTTGCACAAAAAACATGCTAGACAAAATAGCATGCAAAATGCATCTATGGGAACAAGTATACACAGAAAGATCTATAATTTGTATGCCGTTTTAAAAAAAACATGCACAGTCAACCCACTGTAGAAATAGGATGAATTGAACTTAGGGGCAGAAAAACGAAAACTTGAGAGGAATCCAAATGGACAATTGTGTTGATTCTTCCTTTATATATTAAACATTTAACACATATTAAAGCCATTTTGATGTAATGGTGAAGGTACTGTCCTAAAAACCAGAAGTCTTAAGTTTTAGACTTTCCTTAAGTATGAAAGCCATGTGAGTGGTGGCTTGGGGCAGTCAACTCTCTCTTAGTGCAAACCACCTTGCAGTGTTGTTGTGAGGACAATAGCAGGCAAGAATATTAAAGGAGCAATAGTAGTGGCACCTTGGATGCAACTCCAAAATAACTGGAGCACCACTTGAACATAATTGACATTGAGAAAATCACCACCGGTCAATTGGAAAAGGTAGCTTTACTTGAACAGCCCACATCCTGCAACGATTCCTTTAATACCATCAAACAGCACCTGCCTACCTGAAGTCCTTGGGAAGGACTCAATAAATAGATACAAATGCCAAATCCAGTCTAAACATCTGGCTTATTGTGCAACCAACCATAATAATAATAATAATACAAGACATACTGTATGTAGCTCTTCCCTCCGCCCAAACCCCAGTAGCGCTCTTCTCAGAAGCAAGTGAGCAACAGGAAAGAAGCAGGCAAAGAGTGAAGCCTCTCTCTGTCCACACCCTGCTTACCTGCTGCTTTTCAGAATGCCACAAGCATCATTTGCCTGGGCCACTTTTGGCGTACATATTGCATCGTGGACATGTTGCATCTAGTTTAATTGGCTTGGGAGACTACAATTCCAAGTGGTTTGGGAATCACAGTCCAAGTCATGTCATGATCTTCTTCATGTTTTCTTTAAGGAAAGTTAGATTCCATAACTGCATGCATCAAACCGAAGTATTACGGCACACTAATAGATAAATTTGTTTTCCCTCCCTGTTTCTTTTAAAAAGGAAAAATAACAAACCAATTTATGAAATGAATTAATACAGGTATTGCAGAAAAACCCCAAGTGGTAGCCAGCAGAAACCTCTGTGCATAATTGAATTCTGTCAATATTTAATTTCTAGTTAATACGACAAGGCAACTGTGTGCATGATGCCATGTTAGTTTGGCCACGTCTAATTTTCGTCTTATATTTTGCAATTTCTTGTCTTGCATGGTGATACTATAAAGAGACTTCTATTAATTTGCTTTTCTGCTTTCTTAACCACATTGATTTTACAGCCTTTCCATTGCATTGGTGTAAGCTGTAGTGCTAAACAGGGATAGGAAAAAGTCCCAAAAAAGTTGATGCTAGTTCTAATCTTGACCCATAAAAATAAATCAGACCACTTCAGGTAACTTCAGATGTGATAATAGAGCAGACCTAAAAGATTTAACTTCTAAATCCTTTAGGTACAGACAAGCGTGAGCTTGCATTAGAGAAAATCTGCTATTTCCTTGCTTCTCACCAGGAAAATAAATTCAGCTACTTTGGTGAAACAACGCCATGATTGTGTGGCTTAAAATTATACTTACTTGCCCAGGATGCAGAGTTGTTGCCCAAAATGAGGTAATGCCAAAATGAGAGCTATAAATCATCTACCCTTCTAAAACCCGCTCTTGCTGCACTGATGAAAGGAAACATCTTGACAACTGTTTCATAGGCATTAAGTGCTTAAGTGATGCAACCACTTTTATCTTTTCCTTTAACAGCCATCTGACGCCTTGTGCAATTTCATTACTAAGTTCCTTCTGCCTTTTTCTTTCTTTCTCCACTTTCCCTTCTCATCCCCGCTTCCCCCTCTTTTTAGACTCAGAATCACACTTCAGATTATCCAGGATGGCACAGCACCACGATTGCAGACAATACCAGAACCAGCGGTAATGGTGCAGCCATTTCCTCTTTGGGGGAGCATCACTGCACTGCATCCCCACCCATGGACCATGGCTGCTTGCCTGAAGAAAGTGCATCCCCTGCAAGGTGCATGATTGTTCACCAAAGTAACTTCCTGGATAATGTTAAGAATCTCTTAGAATTTGCAGAAACACTTCAGCTAATAGATTCCGTAAGTAGAATGTTCATTTTCTGAAAATGTGACTGTTAGGGGAATCTGCCTGCTATGTTTACAGCAGTAATGTTTTCTTATATATATGGTCATTCTTTACTAAATGTTCAGGCCACCAGCACAAAAGGCTAAATACAGGTACCCTGTTTCCCTAAAAATAAGACATCTCCTGATAATAAGCCCAGTCGGGCTTTTGAGCACATGCGATAAAATAAGCCCTCCCCAAAAATATTTAAACGCATGCACAGCCGGTCCCTGCCATTTCTTCTGGTTAGGTTTAGGGAGACAGAGCTGGAAATCTGGTAAAACGGCATGAGGAGCCCCATCTTGTTCAATGCGCCCCAAAATAATAAGACCACGTCGAAAATAAGGCCAAGCGTTTATTTTGGGGTTCAAAAAATATAAGACAGGGTCTTATTTTCAGGGAAACACGGTAGTCCTTTACTCACGATCACAAGTAGCCCAACATTTCTGTTGCTAAGTGAGAAATTTGTTAAGTGAGTTTTGCCCCGTTTTACGACTTTTCTTGCCACATTTGTTAAGTGAATCACTGCAGTTGTTAGGTTAGCAACACGGTTGTTAAGTGAATGTGGCTTCCCCATTGACTTTGCTTGTCAGAAGGTCCGAAAAGGTAATCACATGGCCTTGGGACACAGCAATGGTTGTAAGTATGAACCAGTTGCCAAGCATCTAAATTTTGCACATAAGATCATGGGGATACTGCAAAGTATAAATATACAAAAGTATGAAGGCTATTGCTTAACGGATTGTAAGCCGCCCTGAGTCTCCGGAGAAGGGCGGCATATAAATTAAAGCAAAAAAAAAAAAAAAAAAAAGATCGTAACTGAAAAACAGTCATAAGTCACTTTTTTCATCTCTTATTTCAGTAATATATTAGACTTCTGGATCCCAGCTTTTTTATAGTGCTGATGGTTTTTTTTTTTTTAATAATCACAATTTCAATAAAATCATTGTATTTTTAAAGATTCTAACTGAAGAGTAAGAATATGTGTTACTTTTAAGCACTGTAATTTGCGACAAGAGTTTTAATAAACTAAAAATACATGACATTTATAACATTATAAATACTGATTGATACACAATTTTCCATTTAAGGATGTTGCTATTGTATAAATTTAGTCAGTAAAATATATTTGTGTAATAAGACTTTATAATTGAATGAACAGCCAGTTTGAGATAAAGCTTGTTCTTTTTTGGAATATATCATTAGGATGATTTGTATCTTAAATTTTTACATTTTGAGAAAGTATCACAATTGGGTCAAACTCAATTAAAAGGAATCAATCTTTCTCCTTTGGTTAATTCTGTGTTAGTAATTCAGTTGAGCTTCTTAAAATAGGTGGGAGGAATATGCACTCTCTCATAGACTCGTGCTTCCCCCATTGTTTCCAGGATCTGTCGTCATGGGGTGATCTCAGCAGTTTTGAATTCTCAGAAACATCAAATGCTTCACCTACACAGGTTCCCTCAGACAGAACCCCACAGCTTCAGAAAACAGACAGCAGTGTGTGTAGGCCTGAAGGACACCCTCTTGCAGACTTGAGCAAAGCCATGTTGAGTCAGGATTCCTTTGCCTTACCAAAGTCCTTGACTGGCTCCAAATGTGGCCCAGCTCCATTGGTCATTCTGCGTGCAAAGAGAAGCCATTCCATGAACCATTTAGCCAATGGTCATAATAAGTCCTTCATTCTTGCTGAAGTCAGCAGCTCAACTCCTAAGCATTCCCCTGTCAAAAGCCTGCCTTTCTCTCCTTCCCAGGTAGAGCAACTTTGTTTAAATGTTACTAATTCTCTAAGTCAGTAAAGTGTTAACAACACGGAGAAACTAATCTTTGGGGCAAATGACTAATCTCTGCTGTGCTTGTTAATTGCATTCTGATTTTGAATCTACCCACTGTTGAGTTTAGAGAGCAAACAATCTAACTTACCTGTATACTTAATTCTTGATGATTTGGGAGGATTTGTTGTCTGTTTGCTTTATTCTGCCTTGTAATTTCCTTCATCTGTCCAAAATTAGCATTCCTATTTCCCGTAATCATTTTTTATTTCATCCATTTTGCAGGATGTTTCATATAATCCCAGAATTTGGGCTAAACAATAACTTCCAAATTATGTACTAACAAGTTCATTTTTAAAAAAGAAAATCACATTAACCTAATAATGAAAATAAATTTGGGGGGTATTGGAGGAACTGTGCAATGTGACTTACAAATCAGTTGAATGGATATACTTAAATTGTCTTGGTCACATAGAAGATTTAAACATAAAAGTGTTTGCTTAAATAAACTGCTGGACCTTTTCTTGGAACAATCTAAAATGATGAGTTAATGAATTCATCTTTACTAGTACTGCAGTTCTGGGTTTCTTTTCTAAATGGTAACAGTCTTTTGCAAACAAAACCAAATTTTACATTTTAAAAGCTCTGTGCATCCTTTACTACCCATACTGTTAAAGCAAAGTAATGTTTTAACAAAGAAAATAGGGAATTATATTTTTTTACTTGTTTCTATTAAAAAAAAAATCCTATGTTTGTTCTACTTTAGCTGGAGGATTCAACAATCTTCAGAAAGCAAATTTGTTCTTCCCTGATAGCTAAAATTCCACTGAAACAGGTAGTTACTCTTTAAATATCATCTTGGAACAAATCTAAAAAAAATAGATTTGAATAGGCTTAAGCAATAGAAATGTAAAATTTTGGAAATACAGTAATCAAAATGCATAACAGCATACAGACTCTTAGATGAAATTAGTACTGATGCACAAAGTTACACTGTGAGTTCCTTTTCTTCACTTCTCTTGGTTTTACTTGATTACACTGTTTCAAAAGCTAAAAACCATTAATTCCATAAAAATATACATTTGCAGTTCTTCAGCACTTCTTCTATCCAAGAAAGTCTGGATCTGGACAATCCCATTTTAAGTTCCACTCCACTGTGTAATCACAAAGTCGGTACAACACCTCTTCAAAAAGACCAAGGATTTAAGAGCCAGAAAGAAAATAATTCGTAAGTCCTCTTAAATTATACTTTTGACAGCAGTTTCAACTCTCAGTGAGAATGTTGTAGATATTTTGTATGTGTGTGGAATTGCTGTGCAAATTATTTTCTCCTTTCTCAGTGAAAGATAGCTTGGTGCTTAAAGCACCTTTCAATATAATTAAGGTGTCAAGATACATAAAGAGAGTTTTGTCATGGGGTTGAGAGTTACATCTCATATTATCCCTTTACAGCAGAATCCTTTCTATAAACTGTTTGTAAAATATATAATATAGGTAGTCCTCAACTTATGACCACAATGGAGCCAAACTTTATGTTGCTAAGTGAGAAATTTGTTAACTGAGTTTTGTCTCATTTTATGACTTTTCTTGCCACATTCGTTAAGTGAATCACTGCAGTTCTTAAAGCAGTAACATGTGTGGTCAGTGACTCTGGCTTCCCCATTGACTTTGCTTATCAGAAGGTTGCAAAAGGGGATCACATGATCCCGGGGCACTGCAATTGTCATAAAGTTGAGTCAGTTGTCAGGCATCCGAATGTAAACATGTGACCATGGAGATGCTGCAATGGTCATTGGTGAAATGGTGAAAATTCAACATGCAATGATGGAAAACGGTAATAAGTCACTTTTTTCAATGCCGTTGTAACTTCAAATGGTCACTAAACAAACTGTTGTAAGTAGAGGACTACCTGTATAGGTTCATTCTATATTCACAATAAGTACTTCATTTACACCAGGTAATTTACTTTATTTAAACAATTGATGTTGAAATTAAAAAAACAGATAGGCCTTGTTTAACAGCGGTAATTGAGACCAGCAACTGTGTTCCTAAGCGATACAGTTGTAAAGTGCAGCATCATGTGACTTATGTGCTGACTTGCAAGGGCAAATGCCGCATAGTTCCTGCGCCCCATTAGTCTTGTGATCGCCATTTGCTACTTCCTGCCAGCTTTCCCATTGACTTTGCTTGTGAGAAACCAGCAGTGAAGGTTGGAAATAAATGGTGATCTTATGACAATGATGCTGTGACTGTTGCAATTGTGAGCCAGTTGATGAGTGGCCAGATTGTGATTATAGGACCACGGGGAGGCTGGGACTGCTACAACTATGAAGAAAGGTGACCGGCCCCCTTTTTCAGCACTATCAAAACTTCAAACTGTTGCTTAATGAGGACTAGATGTACAGTGCTAAACAAATTCATTATTCTGTATCATCTTCTAAGTGTTTGAATAATTGTGTGCAAATAAGTTTAACAAACAAATAAATAAATACATGTAGCTTGCTTGTACAACAAGCCAGTATGAATATTTCCATAATATAAATGGGAGAGTGAAACTGGGAATTTACAGCTGTAACACATTCTAGTTGTTGCAATACTCTAGTAGTTGCATTCTAAGCAAAATATTTCAACTAATGTCTTGAAACTTGTTTTTCTCTCTCTTGCCCCTCCCCCAACTCTTTATTTCTTTCACTTTGATAAGTTTCAGAACTCCAGCTATCAAAAGATCAATATTAGAGAGTTCTCCTCGAACGCCAACTCCATTTAAAAATGCAATTGCAGCTCAAGAATTAAAATACGGACCCTTAAAAATGCTGGTAAGAAAAAAGAGCACTAATTTAATGATCAGGCAACCCTTTGTTAACAGCCATATGACCAGAAGTCAGAAAAAATAAAACAAGCAAAAATGAAAATATATAAAGATGAAATGACATTAATACAAATGTTCAGACCTAGGGAAAGGCAGATAGCGTTATTGTGGTGAACTCAGAAAGATATATGCAACCAATAGCCTGCAGAAGAACTGATAAACAGAAGTCATGCTGTCTTACCCTGAAATTTCTTTAGGATAGGATTTATTTATTTAAGTCATTGGGCTTCTTTGTAGAGAGAGCAATGAAAAACATACACACTGATAAAAGGAAATATTTTTGTAGTACCCGAACAGACAGGAGAAGGCATGTTTGCATCCAGCCTAGCCAAAGTGAAGACCTGTCAGAATTTCAGAAGTGATAAAAAAAAAAAGAAATAGGAAGCTAGTGGGTGATTTAATGAGGTTTCTTGGGAAGCTCCAGTAGGACATAATCTTTGGGAATGGAGGAACATGACTGCACTCGGCTATAACAAGCCAAGAACTGCATGCCGAAAGTTAGTAGGATCAAATTGGATTTAATTTAATTTGCGCCTATAGTGATTTTATTTATTTATTTTATTTTATTTTTTGAATTTGTATACCGCCCTTCTCCCTGAGGACTCAGGGCGGTGAACAGCCAAATAAAAACATCAGATACAAATATTAAAATACAGTTAAAAAATATATATAAATTTGGCCCCATTAATTAAAACAATAAACCAAACAATTAAAAACACTTAAAAAGAATTAGGCCAGCCCGGCTTGTTGGAAAAGGAAGGTTTTAAGGGCACGGCGGAAGGCACTGAGGTCATGGATTCTCCTTATCTCAGGGGGCAACTGATTCCAGAGGGTGGGAGCCCCCACAGAGAAGGCCCTCCCCCTGGGGGTCACCAGCCTGCATTGTTTGGCTGATGGCACCCCGAGGAGGCCCTCTCTGTGGGAGCGCACGGGTCGATGGAGGTCGTCGGTGGCAGCAGGCGGTCTCGGAGATAGCTAGGCCCTATGCCATGGAGCGCTTTAAAGGTGATAACCAACACCTTGAAGATTGAAATATAGATAATACCATTTCTTTTCCTGAGGTCACATTAAATTTTTGTGGCAATTTTGGGAAGCAGTCCAGGAGCCCCACACCAAATTAAATAAACCTCTGGGTTTTAGCTCTACTATAAGGCATTTTCTGCTGTTCATGTGCATTTCTCTCTCTTCCTGTTAGCCTCAAACACCAACTCACCTGGTGGATGACCTGCAAGACGTCATCAAACAGGAGTCTGATGAATCTGGTATTGTATCCAGCCTATGTGAAAATGGTTCCCCTTTGCTGAAGAAAATAAAACAAGAGGCAAGTTAAACCATATTTCCTTAAGGTTACCTTAAGCTCCATTCGGTTTAGAAGCCAACAAATGCTTCTAAATCACTTTAGGCACTGCCTCAGGAAATCAACTTTGGCAGGTTACTTTCAGAAAAGAATTTACTACTCCAATTTACATTTTTGGGAAATTAATCAGAATATTCAGAAATAGTTCTAAACTTTGGTTAATTGAAAGTAACACATGAAGTTGCCAATAGGAAGTCCAATAAGATTTAATAGTCCTAAAAAAGACACTACAGTACTGCTATTTCTGACTTCCAATTTCATGAAATTCCACTACTCTCTCTATTAAGTTTAGATTATTTTGGATATCAGTAGTAGAGCAATAATTTGCATTTAACAAAACATGTCCAGGCTTATAATCCAGTCAGTGAAAAGACATCTTTCAACATAGTATGCAATCTTTAGTAGAAAAGAAATGCCTTTGAAATCTGGCTAAATTCATGTTATATCAATCAAATAGGAGCAAGTTTAAATCTGTATAAAGTGAACAGATCCTGAGTGCTGGAGTTCATTGTTAGAGGTGTGCATGACACAGGAAATCCATTTATTTCAAGCTTGGAACAGATTTGCCCCATTCAAAATGCTCTCTGAGAAGGATTTGAATTGGCTTGTTGAATTGGCTTGTTCCTTTGGAGTAATTGAGCACTTGAATGTTCTGCGTTCCTTCAGAACAAAACTCAAAAATATTTTAATCATTCCGGTTCTAGTAACTTATTACCAGGTGTTAGTTCCTTATTTTTCACTTTAGGGCAAGAAAAGTAAGCGGGTTGGTGGTCATGTTGACTGATGTTTATATCCTAACTGCTGAAAAATTAGCGAAGGACAAGGTTTTTAATTGAAAATATTAATGTAAAATGCTTAGAGACAATAGGTTCATCAACTGAGAAATCTATTTTGATTAGCATCTGTTACTACCCACCCATTTTTGCCCATTCAGAAAGAAATTCAGTTTTCAATTTCTTTAAACAAACCTTATGGGTCACTCCAACAGATTGCAGGACAAAAAGAGCAGTTAAATTATTTAATATTGTTTTTAATTAGTACATTTCCTTGAGAGATTTTCCTGAGGTTTTGACCTTTCTATTTTTTTGACATTTTGGGGGGAAATCTTTTTTCTTTCTTTCTTTTGCAGTTAAAGAACAAACTCAACGTTTTCTTTGCCTAATGTTTTTGCTTGCATAGTGGGGTGTCTAGTGACTGCCAGGTGGGAGAGAAAGGCTGCTAGTGCTTTTGAATTGCATGAATAATATCACAGTAACATTAAAACAAGTTCTAAAAGTGTGCATATGCATGGCAAATCTGAGCAAGCCAGTATTGCACCAGTAGTATTTACATCTAAGTAGCTTCTGTAGCATTAATACCACCTCTGGTACGAAGCAACGCAATGGACACAAACATGCACCAGTGGGGACCCAGCGGTGCATTCAGGTGAAAACTCAAACGTCACCTTTTTGAAAAGCAATAATTTACCAGGCAGCTCCAATAGTCTTCTACTTGTGTTTCATTGCTTCTTTTCAACACTTCACTCCTGTATTACCCCACATAGGCTAAAGCAATAGCAGCAAGGACATAATGGGCTCCTGCTTCTCTGTTGGTTAAGGTGGAAGAGATTTGAAGAAAGCAGCCTAATCATAATTCTTCAAACAGCCCAGTCCAAACACTCTCTAAATGCTTTCATGTTGGAACAAAACAGTATGTTTTCTTTCACACTCAGTACACCAAAAACAGCTTTTTCAAACTCGAAACACTTCGCTTATCTCTGTTGTGTGGAGCAGCTCAGGACATTGAATGCTGACTGAATTAGGTTTGGTGCCAAAGCTTATGTCAAAACGCACTTGCTGTTAAGCAAGATAGAATGTGTCAATCAACTCTTATTTTAATATGGCTTTTGTTCCTGCCTGCAGGTGGATTCTCCAGCAGGGAAAGCAGAAAACTTCCTTTGCTCAAATAGTTGGGAAGGGGAAGGGCTAAACGCACAGCTTTTCCCATATGCATCATCAGCAGAAGACGTTCCTGTATGTATTACTGTCCTACATCTCAACATCTTGGGCTAGGGTGTTTTTTGTTGTGGTGTTTGTTTGTGCAACCTTGATTGGTCCAAGGCCAAAATAAGAAAAGAATACCCCATATCTGGGCACTCCTCCTAAAAAAATTTTTTCCCTTTTCCCTACTAGTTTACTCGTAGCTGTTACCTTTCTCAGTAGCTACTTCATGATAATTTCCTTCTCTGCTTAACTGCCAGCTTTTGGTCCTGCATTATTTAGTAGCCACTTCGTTAATGTGACTTGGTTTGATTGTATAACATCAGCATAATGTCAGTTCAGACATTTACTTGAAGTTCTTTAAAAAGTTCTTTCAGATAAAGATTGTGACAATTTGGAGGACTGTGCAGATCGTCCACTTGTTCAGTGACTGTTCAGAGTTACAACAGCACTGAACAAGGGGACTTGGGACCCAGTCTGCAAAGTTGCAAATATCACAGTATCCCCGTAGTCACATGACCCAGGGGTGAAATGCTCCCAGTTCGGACCGGATCACTTGATCCGGTAGCGAGGGCGGCGGGTGGTTCGGAGAACCGGTAGCAAAAATCCCTTGCCCCCTCCCCCCATGCCCAGCTGAGCAGCGCGATCATCAGAGGCTTTTTTTTTTTAAGCATTTTTTCTACAACCTCTTTGGCTGAAAAAATGCTTTTAAAAGTTTTTTTAAAAAAAGCCTCTGATGATCGTGCAGCTCAGCTGGGATCGTCAGAGGCTTTTTAAAGCATTTTTTTACAATCTCTTCGGCCGAAGAGGTTATAGAAAAAATGGTTTTAAAAGTAAAAAAAAAAAAAAAAAAAGTTGGCCACGCCCACTCAGTCACATTACCCCCCACACACCAAGCCACGCCCACAGAACTGGTAGTAACAAATTTTACATTTCACCACTGATATGACCACACTTCGAGCACTTGGCAACCAGTTCACACTGATCACCATTTGCGATCTTCCCTGCTAGCTTCCCACAAGTTAGGTCAGTGGAGAAGCCAGTGGGAGATTGCAAGTTGACACTTTCTCACCCATTTCCTCATAATCTATAGCACAGGTGTTAAACTCGCCGCATCATGTTACTGCCACATGATGTTTTGCATCATTTTTCCCATTCGTCGAGCTGGGGCGGGCATGGCCTGCACGTGACACATCCAACCCGTGGGCCACCAGTTTGACACCCCTGATCTATAGTATCCACCCATACTTTATAGTACCTGGTAAGCTTTTGCCAACCAGCTGGCTTACCTGGAGCTCCCATCTCTTCCCTTTATGGTCATGTGAGTTCGTTCCTTGATGACCTGTGCAGTTGTGAAGTTAAAACTACCAGGATTGCCATCCCTAAGCAATACAATCATTTGACATCACGTTTTATGATTGCATTGCTTAATGCTGGGAATTCTAGGTCCCGGGTTCCATCATAACTCAAGAACTACCTGTATGCAGTACTGTCCCTTACAAAAAAAGTCTTTTAAAGTCCTTCTAATTTTATCTGCTATCTGTTTTATTTTTTCAGAGTATTCCAATATTTGAATACTCCAAAATTCCAAATATTATTTAAATGCAATGTGATAGGGTGGAAAGGAGGGTGGGGAGAGATAACCAAACAATCATATTCAGTATTAAATATCATTCTTACACTGTTAAGATTTTATTGTGGGTCTTTTTTTCAGAATCTGCTGACCAGTTCACATTTAAAGATGCCTACACCAGAAGAAGAAGACAACAATCATAAATTATTCACATTTCATAGATCTAGATCATCAAGTAGCCCACTTCAGGTAAAAATTTTCATTTTGTAAAATTCCATAGCTAATCCTTGAATTTACTTCCAAATAGAGAAATAATTCTTTCAATCCAGAGAATAATTTGTTTGTAAAACATGAAGATCTCGCTTCATTGTATAAGGGGAAAATGTTGTAGATGTGTTTGTATAAGAATTTAACACAAACCTAATTAGCTATTGAATGCAGTATTACTGACCAAGTAAAATATTTCAGGAACAAGGAGCTGTTGGGAAAACATAACTGAACCTGTTGACTTTTCTTGACAGTAGTGGAACAGTGGCATTTTTTTCTTCTGCAATCTGTGGGGAGGAGTGATTTGGGGTGCCCTGTTGAAGTGTAAAGGGAAAGGAAGCCAAGAAACATTGATATTTTTTGATTCCCCATTTCCGGTGTCCTTGTTTTTGTAACAGTGAAATATGAACTTCCTCAGATCAGGTTATTTTCAACCAGATAACCACATGAAACTCAATTTGAAGTCTGAGTTTTGAGTTGAATGGAAGAGTAGCAAACACTGCAGGACTGTCTTTTTGAGTGGTAGAACTCAGACTTGTTATGAATGGGAATGAGAACCTAATACAGTACCAGACGTCTTCAGATAGACTTGAAAAGAAGTTCTCTCTACAGAACCACATTGGTAGTCTGCATGGAAAATACTGAGCCAGTTGGATCAGTGCTCTGGATCTTTTCATTAGCTTCCAATAGAAAACTGATGTAAAAACCTTTACGGTACAATCCTGTGGATGTCCACTCATAATAAATCATTTTGAATTCAGCAAGGTTATTCCCGAATAGTTGGATATACATTGCATTTTTTATAATCATAAGAAAAACCCTAGAAGATGAAACCAAAGATCTGTATCTAGTTTACTATCTTAGTTTCTCACTGCAGTCTGCAAGATACCTTCAGGAAGCCTGGAAGCAGAACATAATAATAAGAAACAACTCTCACTGTTCAGTAGAATCTGGGATAACTACTGTAGACAAGATTAGATTCACATGCTTCATTCTTGTTCCTACATAAAATGGCCTAATGATGAAAATCTATTTCACCTATTAAGAAAGTGATAATGCTTGAATGTGTCTCGTAGGCATAAGACATGGAAATTTGCCTCCGGCTTTGCTATTTGCAAATATAAATTAGACAACAATTACTGCTATGTTGGCCAAGTTCATGAAAATTTATTCTTAATCACTTCTACAGAGCTGAGCCAACAGAATATGCAGACTATTTTATTACTGCTATTTATGTAAATAAGTACATTAGAAACAATTATTCCCTAAGTAAATGAAACAGAAATGGCTTGTTATCTTAACTTAAAGTTGGCATTAGATTGTTGTTTCTTTTGTGTGAACTCACAAATGGGAAATAAATGGGCTTTTTCCCATTCCAGTTCTTGGGTAGCCAGAGATTTTTAGACTGTAAATAAATCTGTATTTGTGTGCAGTTATTTAAATCATTGAATGTGGGAACTCAGATGGTGTATTTCCTGATCCATTTCCCCTTTCTAATCAGGAGATAGAAGCTGTTACGTAGTCCATTCAATGACTTGGTGGGCTGGATCACAAAAAGGGAAAATATGTTTGTACAGGATGTTTCCTCCTTTTGTTAACCTAAAAAGATGGTGATGCTTTTGAGGGCCTATGGAAATGTACACAGAAGCTAAATTTCCTGCCCTCCACAACTGTTCCAGGCATTTGGGCACAATCCATTTCTGGATTGGGTTGCCAGCTTTTCATTATGTTTATTCCTCCTTTGGTCATTTTTCCTAAGAAGGATCTCTGATGAATACCACTTTATAATGTTTGGTAAGGCCACACTTACTGCATCTAGTTTTGGTTGCCACGATGTAAAAAAGACGTTGAGACTCTAGAAAGAGTGCAGAGAAGAACAACAAAGATGATTAGGGGACTGGAGGCTAAAACATGAAGAACAGTTGCTGGAACTGGGTATGTCTAGTCTGATGAAAAGAAGGACCAGCGGTGACATGATAGCAGTGTTCTGATATCTCAGGGGCTGCCACAAAGAAGAGAGAGTCAAACTATTCTCCAAAGCACCTGAGGGCAGGACAAGAAGCAATGGGTGGAAACTAATCAAGGAGAGAAGCAACTTAGAACTAAGGAGAAATTTCCTAACAGTTAGAACAATTAATCAGTGGAACAACTTGCCTCCAGAAGTTGTGAATGCTCCAACACTGGAAGTTTTTAAGAAGATATTGGATAACCATTTGTCTGAAGTGATGTAGAGTTTCCTGCCTAAGCAGGGGGTTGGACTAGAAGACCTCTAAGGTCCCTTCCAACTCTGTTATTCTATTCTATGTCAATACCCAACAATTTTGGTGTGGTATTTCTTTCAAGAAGCAAACTAGCAAAAGAAATGTTATGAGGCTCCTCAACATGTTCTAATCTCATGCAGTGAAAGTGCTTTAGCAGTTGTCTCCGTTGTCTATGGAAACTTAACAATTCAGATGTAGAAGTGGGATAGATGGGTGGGATTTTGTTTTAAATAAACTTTTCATGTAAGTGTTGCTCGAAGATAATATTTTTCTGCAGAAGCACCATAATTCAGCAAAACCCACCATAGGGGCTTTGGAAGTCATAATAATTTTTAAATGACTGCATAGAGAGATAAAGAAGAGCTGCCACTATCAGAGGAGAAAATATCTTAAACTTCGACTAATTGATTGAAAAGTGTTGACCTCACTAGGCTTGGACAGCTAGATAATTCATTCGTTCATTTTATTACTCTTGAATATTAAGAAAAACATTTACATTCAATGTGCAAAATCATTTCTATATATCAGGCTATATTTTCAATATACATACATGAATGAATAGACATTCTAATATTTTCTTCCTGTATACCAATATATAATAAATTTGAGGTATATTTTAAAAAAACATTTTACTGAAAATATTTGGAATTCACTAGCATAGACAATGGCAGATGAGAGAAGAGTGGTTTGATCCTGCCTTGTTTCTTGAGTACTTATTTGCAGGAAAATGTAATATGTGAATCTGCCATTGAGTTGAGTAGTTTTAAGAAAGCAGCTTTGCACAGTCTTGCCTTTATTGCTGTGTTTTCCCTGGAGGTTCACTTTTACTTAACTGGATATCCCAGTTAAACTCTGTAGACTTTGTTTACTGTTCACTCTTCCCTGAGGCAACAGAAGACACGTTACAGGATAAGTGAGATAATTTAGTTGCCAGAAGAAGGATATGCAGGTAGGATTAATGATGTAACAAAATGAACTAAGAGTGACACAGCTGAAAATATTCCATGGTTTGATGGTAATATGTGAACATAATGTAAACATAACAAAAGTTACCTTTGTTATCCATATTTTAACTTTTAAAAAGTGCTAATAGGAAATCTGCTTTGAAAAAAGAAATATGTTTTGCAAGAGAGGGTGAGATAACAAGGATTGCCCACAATTTCATAGGATCCGTGGTCTAATGCAAAACATACAGGCCGCCAATGATGGGGCACGACCAAGTTAAAAGTAGCTCCAACTAAACTGTATTGAAAAGAAGGAAATAGAAACATGAGAACCACTGTTGCCTTGATCTGTCTATGGCATTGTCACATGGCAGTTAGTGAAAATTTAGTGGTTTATGGTAAAGGTCATTATTAATGAGGGGCAATTTTAAGTGAGTGGAACCCTAAACATCTATTAGTGTATAGTATAGCCTTTATTGTCATTGTACATCATATATACAATGAAATTGGTTAAATTAGTGAGCATCATTAAGAAGGAAGCAGTGGGAGTACCTGGATGCTAATGTTGACTAACAAAGCATTCCTGCAAGAAAACCTTGTGAGAATGCTTCAAGATGGATGGATTACAATTCCTAGAATTCTATAGGTAGCACGGCCATTATTATTTATTCTGAGACTTCAGATATGTAGTACAGGAGGGCATCCAGACCAAGGATGGCTGCTATAGGACTAGATCACAAAAACCTGTCTTCAAACCTGCCCAAAAATGTGTCACTGTTTAGGCAGCATGTTTTGCTTTTGAGCAATCATCTCAAGAAGACAACGAGAGGGAACAAAAGCAGCAGCATTCTGTTCACTATAGGCAGCAAAAACATGTTGGTTTCAATAGTGTCTCCTTGGCCGTGGTGCTATTTTTCTAGTCCTCTGGAAGCAAGTAGGCTCTAGTCATAATTTCAGAGGGTTTGGAAGTTTTCATTAATGTCTAGCAAAATCTGATTGTGACTTTTCCTTCCCTTCTTTCTGTGGCATCCAAAGCTTTTGTTTTACCCTAAGCATCCATGCGATTACCGTACTTGTGCCTTAGAAAGAAATAGCTTGCTTTCTTCTGGATTACTTTTATTCTGTTTCTCTTTAATATCATTTAATATTATAACTTTATATTATAAAATGAGCAGTTAACAATCTCACTCCATTTAATAAAAAAATAAATAGACCAGTGAAATATTACCAGGTCAAGAAGGACTATTTAACATACATCTAGTCTTATGAAAAGAAGGATTAGGGGTGACAGGATAGCAGTGTTCCGATATCTCAGGGGCTGCCACAAAGAAGAGGGAGTTAAGCTATTCTCCAAAGCACCTGAGGGCAGGACAAGAAGCAATGGGTGGAAACTAATCAAGGAGAGAAGCAACTTAGAACTAAGGAGAAATTTCCTGACAGTTAGAACAATTAATCAGTGGAACAACTTGCCTCCAGAAGTTGTGAATGCTCCAACACTGGAAGTTCTAAGAAAATGTTGGATAACCATTTGTCTGAAGTGGTGTAGGGTTTCCTGCAACAGGGGGTTGGACTAGAAGACCTCCATCTTCAACTAATGGTTAATCTAACCTATTTTTTAGAAATTCCAGTGTTGGAGCATTTCATTCAACTTCTGAGGCTAGTTTTTCCACTGATTAATTGTTCATAACTGTCAGGAAATTTTCGCCTTAGTTCTAAGTTGCTTCTCTCCTTGATTAGTTTTCCACCCATTGCTTCTTGTCCTGCCCCTCAGTGCTTGGAGAATTAGCTTAACTCCCCTCTTCTTGTGCACCCCTGAGAATCGGAACACTGCTATCCTGTCACCCCATAATCCTTCTTTTCATAAGACTAGATGTATGTAGAATAGTCCTTCTTGACCTGGTAATATTTCACAGGTCTATTTATTTTTTTATTAAATGGAGTGAGATTGTTAACTGCTCATTTTATAATATAAAGTTATAATATTAAATGATATTAAAGAGAAACAGAATAAAAGTAATCCAGAAGAAAGCAAGCTATTTCTTTCTAAGGCACAAGTACGGTAATCGCATGGATGCTTAGGGTAAAACAAAAGCTTTGGATGCCACAGAAAGAAGGGAAGGAAAAGTCACAATCAAATTTTGCTAGACATTAATGAAAACTTCCAAACCCTCTGAAATTATGACTAGAGCCTACTTGCTTCCAGAGGACTAGAAAAATAGCACCACGGCCAAGGAGACACTATTGAAACCAACATGTTTTTGCTGCCTATAGTGAACAGAATGCTGCTGCTTTTGTTCCCTCTCGTTGTCTTCTTGAGATGATTGCTCAAAAGCAAAACATGCTGCCTAAACAGTGACACATTTTTGGGCAGGTTGAAGACAGGTTTTTGTGATCTAGTCCTATAGCAGCCATCCTTGGTCTGGATGCCCTCCTGTACTACATATCTGAAGTCTCAGAATAAATAATAATGGCCGTGCTACCTATAGAAATTCTAGGAATTGTAATCCATCCATCTTGAAGCATTCTCACAAGGTTTTCTTGCAGGAATGCATTGTTAGTCAACATTAGCATCCAGGTACTCCCACTGCTTCCTTCTTAATGATGCTCACTAATTTAACCAATTTCATTGTATATATGATGTACAATGACAATAAAGGCTATACTATACACTAATAGATGTTTAGGGTTCCACTCACTTAAAATTGCCCCTCATTAATAATGACCTTTACCCATAAACCACTAAATTTTTCACTAACTGCCATGTGACAATGCCATAGACAGATCAAGGCAACAGTGGTTCTCATGTTTCTATTTCCTTCTTTTCAATACAGTTTAGTTGGAGCTACTTTTAACTTGGTCGTGCCCCATCATTGGCGG